ATGTGTTTTAGGGTTTTGTTACATAACATTCTATTTCGAGTACCAATTTCTGTAGCTGATCTATTACTGTGTAACAAACTACCTTAGAATTTACTGGCTTAAAAAATTAACCATTTTTGTTGATTCAGGGTTCTATCAGTCAGGAATTTGGGCAGGACTTGGCTGGGTGGTTTTCTGTTCCACCTGGCATGGGGTGGGGCCGGAGGGGCACTGTGTATAGGTAATGACCCCGGCTACCCTGGGAGATCCAAGAAGGCTTCACTCACATGTCTGACACCTCAGTCCTCTGTGCAGATTCTCCACTACACGTGGCTCACTGGGGCTTCCTCACAGCGTGGGTGTCTCAAGTGAGCTGGACTTTTTGCCACAGCCGCTGGCTTTCAGGAAAGCGCATTTGAGGTAAAGCAAAAGCTGCACAGACATGGCTTGGAATTTATACAGCGTCATTGACTCAGTACTCGATTGCTCAGAGCTGGCCAGGAGACCACTGCCGATTCAAGGAGTGGGGAGCTAGACCTCATCTTTAATTGGGAAGAGTGGCAAAGGACTAAAGTCCATCTGAAATCCACCACAGTCTTCTTCTGCACATCATTATTTTGTGAGATTCATCCACGTTGTTGTGGTAGCAAGTATTCATTCTTTCTTATTGCTGTGTAGTATTCCACGGTCCAATGACGTCACAATTTGTTATCGATTCTCCGCTTGGTGGACATTTAGTTGCTTATGATTTGGGGCTATTATAAAGAATGCTTGATGAAAATACTTGTATATATCTTTTGATGAATATATGCATGAATTTCTCATGGTATATATCTAAGAGTGGAATTGCTGAGCCTTTTTTTTTTTTTTAACTTTCTTAACGTTTATTTTTGAGAAAGAAAGAGACAGAGTGAAAGCAGGGTAGGAGCAGAGAGAGAGGGAGACACAGAATCCGAAGCAGGCTCCAGGCTCTGAGCTGTCAGCAGAGCCCGACCGAGATCATGATCTGAGCCCAGGTTGGAAGCTTAACGACCTAGCCACCGAGGTGCCCCTGGAATTGCTAATTGTTCAGCAATTAGCATATATTTAGCATTACTTCCAGCCAATTTCCCAAAATATTGCCGCCAATTTATACTCCCATCAGCAATGGAGAAGAAGCCAGTTTATCCCGGTTTTTGTGAAGCCTCGATACTGTTTCTAACTTTATTCATCTCAGTGGATACAGTAGGTCACTGTGATCCTAATTTGCATTTTTCTAAGGAATCATGATGTTGAGCACTGTTTCACATACTTATTGATCTTTTAACTATCGTGAAATTGTTGTGAAAGTCTTTTGCCTATTTTTTAATTGGGTTATATATTTTTTTTTACTGATTAGTAGTCATTTATTTGTTGTAGATATAAGCCTTTTGTTGAATTCATTCACTGAGAACACCTTTTTTCAGTCTCTGGTGGGCCTTAACAATGTCTTTTGATGAACTGAAATTTTTTTTTTTTTACAATGATGAACTGAATTTTAATTTTAATGAAGTCTAACCTAACAATCTTTTGTTTAATGGATAGTGCTTTTAGGGTCATGCTCTTTAGCAAATCCATCTCAAGTCAGAAAGTTTTCCGATTTTTTCCAAGAAGCTCTATGGATTTAATCATTACACGTGGTGCTATGATCCACTTCAAATTAATTTTTGTATATGGTGTGATGAAGGGGGTCAGTATTTTTCTTATGAATGTCCAACTGATCATAGTTTTTACTGAAAAACTATGCTTTCCACGCTGGATTTCAGTAGCATCTTTCTTGTAAATCAGGTTATCTTACATGTTATCTTTTTGTCAGTTTCTGGGCTTTCTGTTCTGTTCCATTGATCTTTCGGTCTATTCCTGCACTACTGTTTGACTTATGTATTTTCTAATTTAAATCAACTTTACATTCCTAGGAAAAACTCCACTTGGTTTTCATTGATTAACCTATTTATATATATTGCTCAAAATAACAAAGGACTTGCATTCAGTTTGCTAGTATTTTGTTTGGAATTTTTACATCTACGTTTCTGAGAGAGAATGGAGTTTAATTTTTACTTTTTTTCAAATACTCTTGGCATGTTTTGCTGTCAAAGTTATGCTAGCCTCATAAGATGTGCTTTTCCCGTTATTTGGAAGAGTCTGTGTAAGATGAGTCCTGTTTCTTTTTTCTTTAAACCTTATTTATTTAGAGAGAGAGAAAGAGAGAGTGCATGCAGGGGACAGAGAGAGGAAGAGAGAGAGAGAGAGAGAGAGAGAGAGAGAGAGAGAGGGAGAGAGAGGATCTCAAATATGCTCTGCAGCATCAATGAGGAGCCCCGTGTGGGACTCAAACTCACAATCATGACCTGAGCTTAAATCAAGAGTCGGATACTTAACAGATCGAGCCTCCCAGGCACCCCTACTATTTTCTTCTTAAACATTTGGTAGAATTTACTACCTTTAACTCATTTGAGATTGGGATTTTCTTTGTGAGGTTTTTAATTTATACAGTGTATCTATTTCTTGAATAAATATAGAATTGTTCAGATTTTCTATTTCTTTTATATATACTTTGGCGACTTGTATTTTTCTAGGAATTTGTCCATCTCATCAAAATTTCAAATGTCTTGGCTTAGAGTTATTGGCAGAATCGAGTAGTGGCTAGCGTTGGGTTCTGTGGCTGTCACTCATGCGGAATCCGGGTACAGTAGCGGCATCCGCATAATAGCAGAGCTGGGGTCCTGGTGAAGATTTAGATCCACCTTTATCAGGCTAGAAGGGCTAAGTGTATTTCTTTCTGATGTACACATTCTTTCTTTAGATGTGTTTATACCCTCCATCAAGGTGTTCAATCAAATCTTGGCCCAGAGACTTCTCAGTTGCTTTAAAGGTTTATTATGTCTATTCTCATTTCCCTGTTTCCTCTTCTTGGGGTTACATCATTATTGCTCCACAGCATGACGTCCATCTCACTGAGCACTTCTACCACTTGATCATTTCCATTACACAAAAATTATCTGTGCCAATCTAACAGGCCAAAAGGGCTCCTGAACCCGAGTTTTAAGTGCTTCACTCTAAAGCTTCTCTGTTCAAACACTCTGTTAACTCTTACAGTCTAAGAAAACGTCTTCCAAAGGGCTGACTTTGCTCAAAACACTCAATTTCTGTTAAGGAATGGCTGGAAAAATCTGCGACTCATTTCTGTGCAAGCACATGCCCAAAGACTCAAATCAAGATAGGTCATCTGTTTAAACTATTTTGCATATACGTGAAAATCTTACAAAGTCATTCATCCATTCAACAAATATTTATTGATCACATCCTACGAGCTGAGTACTGTGCTAGGCCCTGGATATATGGCAATAAACAAAAAGATTCCTGATCTCATATTTTAGTTCAATACATTAACTATTTAGTTGAGCATCCAGTACTGCCCCTTATTCTACTAGTTCAACATTTGAAATCAGGGCTGATCTAGAAAATAAAAAAGGTTTATGATCTAGCTATGCATACGACAGCCCTTAATGCTGTAATGATAGGTAAGACTTTTCAGAAAGTATCTGAAGTCGCACAGAGCCAAGTCCAGCAAATGACCTGGGTGACACAACCGGACGGAACATTTGTCTAGGGCCATGAGAAAATAACGAGACTGACTGCTCCACTGGACTGGGCGTCCCTTGAAGGCAGGGAGTCTGTCTTGTTTATCTCTCATTTCCCAATTGCTGGCACAGTGCCGGGCAGCGAGTGGGTGTTTAATAACCTTGTGAAATAAGCGAACTGACAAATAAGGAGTGAGTGAATAAAGAGCCACTCGCTTGGTTATCTCATCTGGCCTTATGACTTTAAATACTATCTAGACAGACAGAAGTGCCAAGTGTGTATCTCCAGTCCAGGATTAGCCTGTCAATGCTAGACCCCCAATAGCAAATTGCCTTCTCATCCTACCTGGATATCTTACCAACATCTCTAACTAAATAGGTCTAGAATCAAATTCCGGGTTGCTCTTCTACTGGACTCCTACTGTTCCACCCACAGGCTGCCCCTACTCAGGAGATGATAACTCATCCTTTCAGGGCAGGTCAGACGTCTCGCAGTCGTCCTCGACTCTTTTCTTCCTCTTACCACCCACTTCCTGACCTTCAAGCTATCCTTACGGCTCTGCCTTCAAAATCTGTTAATTCCAGGATTTTTGTACTTCTCACTATCTCCACTGCTTTTACCCGGTTCACGCTACCATTGACTCTTGTCTGGATTATTTTAAGACTCTCCTGACTTGCCTCTCAACTTCTACCTTTGCCCCATCAGTGTCTTCTCCCCACAAGGGTCAGACTGATCTGTCAAACAGAAGTTAGATTCCCTCCTCCAATAGCTTCTAAATAAAATCCTTGCTTAATACTAATACTTAATAGGGGTGCTTGGGTGGCTCCGTCGGTTAAGCATCCGACTTCGGCTCAGGTCATGATCTCGCGGTTCGTGGGTTCGAGCCCCGCGTCGGGCTCTGTGCTGACAGCTCAGAGCCTGGAGCTGCTTCGGATTCTGTGTCTCCTTCTCTCTCTGCCCCTCCCCTGCTCGTGCTCTCTCTCTCTCTCTCTCAAAAATAAATAAAACATTAAAAAAAAAATACTAACGCTTAGAAGGAACGCTTATAGAGGAGGAAACTGAGGCACAGGAAACAGAAAACGGTGATTAAACCCAGGACTTCCCTCCAGAACCCCTGGCCTCTCCGGTGCCAGTAAAAGGCCAGGGCGGAGCGGAGAACCGGGAGGCTCGCAGTCCGCGCTGGGGACAGGGGCCCGCCGCCCACCGCCTCGCTCGCAGCGCGCAGCAGGAAGACGGTTCTGCAACGAGCGGGGCGGCACTCAGTCCGCCCAGTTTCTGCCAGGTCGGCTCCGGTTCCGCCGACGAGGAAAGGGCTGCAGCCCGGGAGGGGGCTGCGGGGCTCGCGGGGCCTCCGTCCCCGCAGCCCCGGGCGCCCGGAATCCAAAGCCGCGGTCTGGGTTTCCGCCCGGCCGGCTCCGCCCGGCGCTCCCGGAAGTTGCCCTCACTGCCCGGGTAACGGGCCCCGCGGCGCCGTCGTGATGGACCTGGAGGAGGCGGTGAGGGAGCCCGGCGCCCTCGGGGCGCGACGGCAGGGCGGGAGGGGAGTGAGGCGGAGAGAAGCGGCTGGAGGACGCCAAGCGGCCGTGGAGGTGGCCGCTGGCCGGGGGAGGGCGGCCGCACGGCTGCGGGGCGGGGAGAGGGAGGGGGCCGGCGGGCCGGGGGCGCGGCTGGCGTGTCTGGCCCCCGGAGGTTGCGGGTGACGGGAGGGCGGGGCGTTAGCCGCAGGGGTGTGTTTCCAGAGGAGGCTGAACTTGGGGGGGCTTATGAGGGTGGCCACCCACGTGGCGCATCCCGCGTCGGCAGCGCCACCCGCGGGTTCCCTTTGACGGCGGGGCGGGCGTGGGAGGGTCGGGGTTGGGACCCGCCGGCTCCCCGGTAGCCCCCGCCTGGCTCTCTGGGAATCCTGGCCGCCGTCTCGGTTGGGGGATGCCAAATTCGGGGTCGGGCCGCCCCGAGGTAACGCTGCTTCTCAATACGGGGTCATTGCAAACTTTACCAACCTGTGGAGATAAACCCGGCGTTCATTTCTAACACACTACATAAAATGCTGCATTCTTTGACCCTTTTGAAGGAGTATTCGGTAACTAGATCAACGACAAGGTCAAAGACCTAAACGTTGCGGATCGGTAATGTAGTGCCAGCGTATGCATGGACGGAAGCGCCACGGCGATAGAGGGGCTTCGTCGTTATATGCTCAGTTAATGGTTCTGGGATGATGGATGGTTAACGTCTGTAAGTGCCAGGTTAATGGAATTAAGAATTATAACTCACCATTAACCTGTATTTGCTGTGAGTAGGAATCCTGTGTTATTGCTCCTTATATTGCTGAATGAATACATCGAAACGTGAAACCGCCACAATAAAAATCTGGTTCTCTTGTTGTCTGTTTCTAGTATCACGAAGGACATTGCAAATGGTCTGCTGTTTCCGTTTTTAAAGTCTTTTCTTAAATCTTGTCATCTTTATTCCTCACAGCACTTTCAAGGAGTTCTGTTTGCTCATCTTTTTTTTTTTTTCCATTTTACCCCATCGCCTTTTCTTCTTTTTTCCTCCCTCACCCACTGCACATTTTAGAAACTTTTAAAAATAATGTGATTTCAATAATTCTCAAGCTAATCAAAAGAAATTTTTAGAATTTTAGAAACTTTTAGAAATAAATTAATTCTAGTAATTTTCAAACTATTCAAAAGACTGAACTGCTCCTTATAGACAATCTCTCTGATATATTGTTTATTTTCTATGATATTTAAAAAATATAGGGTAAAATCCAGGGAACCATCTTTTTTTTTTTAATGTTTATTTTATTTTTGAGAGAGGGAGACAGAGCCTGAGTTGGGAAGGGCCAGAGAAAGAGGGAGACACAGAATCCAAAGCAGGCTCCAGGCTTAGCTGTCAGCACAGAGCCTGACACAGGGCTCAAACCCACAAACGGTGAGATCATGACCTGAGCCAAAATCATAACTGAGCCAAAGTCGGATGTTAACCGACTGAGCCACCCAGGTGCCCTGACTGAGCCCCAGGGAACTTTCTTATAGAAATGTAATGTGGTGAATATGATTTGATAGTAACCCCTTTTCTATCTGCTCCTATAGAAAGAGTTCAAAGAAAGATGCACTCAGTGTGCCGCTGTCTCTTGGGGTCTTACGGATGAAGGCAAATATTACTGCACTTCTTGCCACAGCGTCACAGAAGTAAGTAACAAGCATCTTTTATTGCATTTGCCAGTGTTTTGAAAGTGCAGCTTTAGCCTGTTACGTGATGTAGTTCCCGAGTAATTGATTTATCTTTGTCCCTCCTGCAGCGTGTAGATTCCAAGAGTGAAAGCAGACTTCACGCGCTTCCACATGAGTTAAGGAACGTGCAGATCAGATTTAGGATGGGTTTTTGAAACGATGTTGGGCCGCATTTACAAATGATGCCATGATTCAGACTGTGTCGTGTAAGGGAAAAGCATTAACATTGTACTTACAAGGTGATGCATTTCGTCTTATGAGTTAATACCTCTGTAAGAGTTTTTAATGTGTTGTAGTTTAGAGGTTTGGATGATGGAATGTCAGAGTGAGAATATTGGGAATATTGAAAATATGCTTCATTATCATTTTGTCTTTGTACAGTACCTTCCAGATTTACAAAGTGCTTTTCATATCCATTATTTCATTTTCTCCTAATGTCCACCTGTGAGGTATACCATGCTGCCTGCCCACTGATGGGGTGAGGAGCGCTCATGAGTTGAGTGAATGTGCCAAAGTTACACAGGCCTAAGGTGTTGAGCCAGGACGTGAACCTGAGTGTTCTGACTCCCGTGTTCCTTTTACCCATCGCACCTGCCTCTTACACTAGAGATTGTCATACTGTCTTGTGTAACGTTGGTCGGTGAGGCCTCTTCACACTGTGAGTGCTATGTCCTGTTCTAGTTACAGGGCATCGTGACACAAGTATCGAAGGTGTGGGCGGTCTGCTACTGGACAGGCTAAATACGGCAGGACTCCTCTCTGGAAAAGCATTTGCTCCAAGTCCCCAGAGCCAGGAAGGAGCAAATATTACCTTCACCATATAGACTTAAGGAAGGCAAATTTGAGACAAAGAAAAGTAACTGTGTAGACTTCTGCTTTTGGCCAAGATGGAGTAACAGGGACTGGATTTATCTTCCTACATTAAACAACTAAAAACTTGGGCAAAATATATAAAACAACTAAAAGCATTTTTTCTTTTCTCTTGAGGAAAGCGGCTAATTTACCTTGTAGCTCACCCAAGAGCTTTCCTGGAAGCAATCATTGTTTTCAGTGTGCAGCTGAAGTTCTGATGCCTGCTTCCCATTTGAGTCACACAGAATATTAAAGAAAATGCCAGCTTGGTGAAACTTGGGAGGGGTGGATGTGTGCTATTATCTTGGTTGTGGTGGTGGTTTCGTGAAGGTGTTTGCATGTGTGTCTCTACGTGTAGTTACACATATGTGCATACGCGTATGTACATGCATCAGCTCTCACTTTAGATGCAGTGTGATACTCTGCTTGGGTGCGTGTAAGGCGCTGGCAGTTTTACTCACTGTTGTTTTTGCAGTGGCCGTGCAAATGTCAACTCGGCGAAGGAAGATTGCGTCTAATTGGACAGTTCGTCATTAGCAGATGAAGTCAGCATATTATTTTTGTAGAAATTAAACTACATTAACTAATTGCCTCTTTTATTTCTGCCTTTAATAACATTCCTATTTGATTCTGTCTGATAAAACCTACTGTAATCACTTTAACCTGAAAGATCCCAATACCACCACACCGCCTGGTTCCACATTTGAAAGGCAACCTGTGTAGAGTAATTCGTCAAGAATGTAGCATTCTTTAAAAAAAAATTGTTTTTTTTAATGTTTAATTTTGAGAGAGAGATAGAGCATGAGTGGGGAAGAGCAGAGAGGGAGGGAGACACAGAATCCAAAGCAGGCTCCAGGCTCTGAGGTGTCAGCACGGCCGCCCCAGGAACGTAGCATTCTTGAAGATGGGCAACATCTGCGTATAGGCTGAGAACCTAACTCAGTGCCTTCCATATGATAGGCAGAGCCGTGTGTCACACAGCGTCAGTGCTTATTCTTGGCTTTGTGACACTGCAGACATGTTCTTCACATAGAATGGGACATGACCAGTGCTGTCTGGAGTGTGGTGTGGAAGAGTGGCAATGTTGATATCTAGTTGATATATCAAGTGGATGGAGAATGGCCGATGAGACATCATCACACCAATGCAGAGTAGAGGTCATGGTGCAACTTTTCCTGTTTTTCTCCACCTTCATTGCCCTCCAGCTTACCCTGCTTATAATTCTCAAGCTCTAGATACTCTCTATAATCTGGGGGAAAAAAGCCTTCGGAATTGGTAAAGGAATGAGAATGTCACCTTGGTGTATTTTAGGTCTTAACTCTGGCCAGTTTAGGCCACAGATACTCTTGCAGGTGTTTCATGGGTATTTAATAAAGGTGTAGGCTAGAATCGTGTGAGCTTAACAGATTTTTATGATTATAACATCAGATTTATTGTAGAACATTTAGAAATTATGAAGATGAAAGCTAAAATCACCAGTAATCTCAGTCTACAACATTTTAATCACTTCCATTTAGATTCTTTTTTTCTACGTGTGGAAGGGAAAGGGGATATGGGCGAGCTCTTTTGAATCTTCTGTCTTAAATGTTTTCCCATGTTATTCTAAACACTTTGTGGACATGTTTATTGCCTGCAAAAATATCCCACAATATAACCGTTTAATAATCTAAATAATTACCGATCTGGCTTTAGATATTTAGCTTTTTCTCCAGATTTTAAGCCTTCCCTCTCCCCCCTCCGCCTACTCCTTTTGTTTTTTTAATTTTTTTAATGTTTGTTTATTTTTAAGAGGAGGGGAGGGGCAGAGAGAGAGGTCAACACAAATCCGAAGGAGCTCCAGGTTCTGAGCTGTCAGCACAGAGCCTGACGTGGGGCTCAGCTCAAACACACCAACCCATGAGACCCTGACCTGAGCGGAAGTCAGACGCTTACCTTTAACTGACTTAGTGACCCAGGCACTCCTCCCTGCCTACTCCTTACAAGTTGTACCTGTGTTTGTAGGGTAACTGCTTTGGGATGTATTCTGATGGATCGTTGTTTTTAGTGTGGCCAACCCAGTCCACTAAAATTGCTTTGAATGTGGTTTCTCTGACTACAGGAAATGCATTTCCCAAATCCTATTGTTAAGGGTGTTTCTATTACTCTTAGTGAAGGCTGCCGATAAATTTCATTCCAATCTCTAAGTTTAGAGAAATATATAAATGTTGCCTGTTGGTTAAAAATCTTCACCTTTCTTCCATCATTAAGACTTAATTCTTGGGGCGCCTGGGTGGCTCAGTCCGTTAAGCATCCAACTTCAGCTCATGTCATGATCTCACAGTTCTTGGGTTTGAGCCCCACATCAGGCTCTGTGCTGACAGCTCAGAGCCTGGAGGCTGCTTCATTCAGATCCTGTGTCTCCTTCTCTCTCTGCCCTTCCCCTGCTCTTTCTCTCTCTCTGTCCCTCTCTCTCAAAAATAGAAAGAAAAAAAAAAGACTTACTTCTTTTATATTTTGATTATGAGAAAGGCAGAATCTTAGGTACCAGCCCGTGAGAGCACTTCGAGTTGAAGACTGTGGGATGAGTTAAAATCACCATTTAGTCATGCTAAAATTCTGTATGTTTGATTAAAAATAAAAAGTAGTACTTTTATAGTTTCAGAAGTGAAAGCTGTATTATTCAAATACATAGAAAAGCAGGATGAAACGAATCTGTGTGTAGTTTAGGCTTTGCTGGTTACAATAAATACAGCTCTCTTAATTCCAGAGTATGCTTGGATGGAAAAAAAGGGAACAAGTTTGACTTTAACTTTAGGTTTTGTTTGAAAAAAATTAGAAAGTGATTTAAAATAAAAGGTTATTAATTTGACAGACTTTTATTTATTGTTTATTGTGTTCCAGGTACTGTTTTAAGTAGTAAAAAATCTTGAATGAAAAACCAACATGAAGGTTAACCAGAATGTTACAGTTGATATAATTTTCCCCAAATGTTACTGTCCTTGGTCCTGGCACTCACAGTTTGATTCATTATGCTTCCCAGGGATGCTTGGAAATACATTTAGGGAGATCTAAAACCATCTTTCTTTTTCATATTCTGTCTGTTTCCTGCAGAAATCAAAGGAAGTCATCAACACTGGGGCTATTCCTAATACTAAAATACAAGCCATCAGCCGGGGACTTAAAAGAAAAAGAAAACTTGGTAAGCCTTTTCTTCATGTGTGCTTAGAGATGTGGGGTGGAATTTTAAATGGATTCTAGACAAGTTGCCAGAGTTGTAAATAGGTCTTCCAAGGTGGAATTAAAGGTGGGTAATTGTTGATGGTAAAATTGGAAGTAAATGTCTTAAAGCATATCCTGTTTTTATCCTGCTTATTGTCATGAGTTGTCTTTCCAGTGGAGCAACTATCATGCAAAAAGTAATAATGGAGTATATTTCTTCTTCTTATGTTCGTGCCTATATGAATATGATATTCTGTGCTTTTATTTTTTTTTTATTTTTTTTTTAATTTTTTTAAATGTTTTATTTATTTCTAGGAGAGAGAGAGAGACAGTGTGAGCAGGGGAGGGTCAGAGAGAAAGGGAGTCACAGACTGAAACAGGCTCCAGGCTCTGAGCTGTCAGTCAGCACAGAGCCTGACGCGGGGCTCGAACCCACAAACCGCGAGATCATGACCTAAGCAAAAGTCGGACGCTTAACCGACTAAGCCACCCAGGCGCCCCGATATTCTGTGCTTTTAAAGAAAAATGCTTATTTTCTGAAATGACTCAACTATGAAATTGTCAGGATAGGTGAGTTAAACATGATGTTCATCTTTTGGAAATCCATTTCTCACCCTGAATTTTGAACATACCCCTTTAAAATAGGAAAATTATTTTCCTTAAAATAATCTCAGCATGGGCGTGCTTTGAAAGGTAATCTACGGGGTGCCTGGGTGGCTCAGTCGGTTAAACGTCCGACTTTGGCTCAGGTCCTGATCTCACGGTTCGCGGGTTCGAGCCCTGCGTCGGGCTCTGTGCTGACAGCCAGTCTAGAGCCTGGACCCTGTTTCGGATTCTGTGTCTCCCTCTCTCTCTGACCCTCCTCTGCTTATACTGTCTCTCTCTCTGTCTCTCTTTCTCTCTCTCTCAGAAATAAATAAAACATTTAAAAAAAAAAAAGAAAGGTAATTTATTTCATTAATCCAATGAGTATATTACTGAGAAGAATCTGAGGTAAAATCTGATGTTTTTATTTTTCAAAATGTATTTATTTATTTTGAGACCATGAGAGTGTGAGTGTGTGCACTTGCGAGCAGGGGAGGTGCAGAGAGAGGGAGAGAGAGAATCCCAAGCAGGCTCCACACTGTCAGAGCAGAGCCTGATAGGTGGCTAAATCCCATGAACTGTGAGATCATGACCTGAGCCGAAATCAACAGTCAAGACCCTTGACCGACTGAGCCACCCGGGGTCCCCAAGTCTGCTGCTTTTTATTTCTGTGACTACCCGGGGCCACATCCTCCAGTTTGAAACCAGGCTAGTTATAACTGGAGTCTTGCACGTGAGGTAGCTTTAAGGATATACACGCATGAAATATAGATATACAAACGTAGTGCAATAGCTATATGAAATACATTGATATTCTTAGATGGATAACAGAGAGAATGCCTAAATGCTGACTTGTGTTTCTGTTTTACCCTTAATGGTGACTTTTTATTAGGCTAAAAGCTGATTAATTTTAATTAAATTTTATTAGAGTAAAACTTGATTAATTTGGATTTTACTTAAGTAGATAAAATGTATAGTTTAGGGGTGTCTGGGTGGCTCAGTAGGTTAAGGGTCCGACTCTGGATCTCAGTCAGGGCTTGATCTCAGGGTCGTGAATTCAAGCCCCACAGTGAGCTCTACGCTGGGCATGAAGCCTGCTTTAAAAAAGTATGTATAGTTTAAACTTAAGTTGCTGAAAGAGATTTAGATGCTTCAAATTAGATGTCACGTGTCTTATATTCAACTTTTTTGACCCTACATAGTTTCTTCATCCATACAGTGAGAATGGTAACACTATTTGTTATATAAAATAGGAACTCAGAAAAAATTTAAATATGACTTTACCATTTTGTAAGAATGGCATTCTGCAAGGAGAGTGCACACGTATTCAGCTTAAAGAGCTTAAACTCCCTCAGCTTCAGAACGCATCAAAATTAGAGGCTTTCTTTCTTACTCATATACAACCCAGGACCGTTTCCAGAAATTGGGTTAGTCAGCAGGACGCGGAGTAGGAGTGCTGTGACACTCTGCGAGGAGGGGGGCTTGGAGTCCTAGCAACAGATTTCATAAGCCACGTGTCCGAGGTGCCGATACCATGTTTCCCAGAGAGTTGTAACATTGTGCAGCAGGAAGGAGCAAAACGTTGGGGTCTTAACAGATTTTAATATTTTCTCTAACTGGTAGTTCTATTTAAACATGTTGCTCTGTCTGCAGTGGAGGCAGATTTCTTCGCAATCTCTTTGGGTTATTTTGAGGATTAAAGAAAATAATGTATTTTAATTTTTTTTTTTTTTTAATTTATTTCTGAGAGACAGAGACAGAGCGAGGGGGAGGGGCGGGGCAGAGAGAGAGAGGGAGACCCAGAATCTGAAGCAGCTCCAGGCTCTGAGCTGTCAGCACAGAGCCCGATGCGGGGCTCCAACGCACGAACTATGAGGTGATTACCTGAGCCGAAGTTGGACGCTTAACCGACTGAGCCACCCGGGTGCCCCAAAAATAATGTATTTTAAATACTCAGCACACACCTGGTGCCGAGGCACGGCCCAGTAAGTATTTGTTTCCTTGCCTCCCATTTCTCCCCGTAGTCCGGAACTGTCTCCAGAAAACAGAACGGCATCGAGCACTTTATTTTCTCTGAATGTGCTTAGTGCCCGGTCCTGCCCTCCTGAACCTTCACGTCTTGGCTTTTGTTCACTCATTCTCCAAAGACTCATTGTCCCCTTTCTTTGTGACTGGGACAGAGGGCCGGAGAAGCTGAGGCTGAGTGTGGAACATTCTTTCCTTTCAGATTCTGCCGGGTATTGTCCAGTACAGTACATTTTGGAGTTCGGTACATACTTTTAAAGGTTATTTCATTTTTTAACATGGCGACTCTCCATTTCTCTGCCCTTTCCATTAGTACTTCAAAAAATTGTAGATAATTTAACATATTAAAATCTGATGAATTATAAAAATGGGGTTTAGCTTTATTTAGCATTTAGTACATATTTGCCAGATTGGAAACAAGAGAACGTAAGAATGGAAACCCTACCCAGGAATACAACAGAATTGCGGCTGTGATGTGTAAAACCAAGTCGTAACTATGTGGCAGCACATAGTAGATAGGAACGTACGTGTCTGAAGCGTGTTATTTGTTCTTTAGAGAAAGGCTGGGATTGGTATGTGTGCGAAGGTTTTCAGCACATCCTTTATCAACAAGCGGAAGCCTTAAAGACCCTCGGAATAGGCCCCGAACTAAAGGTAAGTCCATTTGCGTCTAGAGGCTAGCTTTGTGTTTTGTTTGAAGAACAGTAAGATTTGGAGTGAAACCAAGGAGAAAAGTAGGATTATCAGTAACGACCCTAGGGCTACTGGACAAATCATTTTTTCTGATGTTTTTTTTCTTTTTAATACTTTATTAGACCAATAACTTCTGAAGTGTGCTCTACCGAATATGAATAAGCAATACATCCAAAAAGAAAAGAAAAAAGGTTTCAGTCTTCAGGGGCGCCTGGGTGGCTCAGTCAGTTAAGCATCTGACTCTTCATTTCACTCAGGTCATGATCTGCGGTTTCATGAGTTCAAGGCGATTCTCTCTCTCTCCCTTTCTCTCTGCCCCTTCCGCACTCACACTCTCTCTGTCTCAAATTAACTTAAAAAAATGTTTTAGTCTTCAATATTAAATATTAAATACTAATATAAGTATATTTAATTTCAATATTTAGGAAACATTGGGTTAAATGAAGTAAAACAAATAACTTTGCAGACTTTTTGGTGCCTTCTGTGTGTTAACGTGATTGTTTAATTGCCAAGGGGAAGTAGTAGGCAGTTTTCACAACTTGAGAAAATCCTTTAGTGCACGTGTGTGTGTGGCAACCACCAGGACTTGAGTTTCAGAACGCACTTTGGGGAGTGGTACGTGACACCAGTGGGTCTCAAATGTGTCCCAGTATCGCCAGGAAGGCTGGTTAAGACACAGACTGCTGAGCCTCATTCTAGTGTTTCCGATTCAGTAGATCTGGAGGAAGGCCCTGAAATTTGCATTTCTTTTTTTTTTTTCTTTTTAATGTTTGTTTATTTTTGAGAGAGAGAGAACGAGTGTGTGTAGCAGGGGAAGGGCAGAGAGAGGGGGAGAGAGAGAATCCCAAGCACGGAACCCCATGAGGTGCCCCAAGAATTTGCATTTCTAACAAGTTCCCAGGTGGCACACTTGGACTTTGCTGTTCCTCTGGAGTCCCGCAGTCCCTGCTCTTATGTGAATTTTGTGTTTTTTCATCTGATTGAAGCCATTTCAGGAATTCTTTAAAAAGCCAGTTATTGAGCCACAGGTAGTAATTATACACTTGCTTCGTGCCCATTATTGGAAACCAGGTGCTAAGAGACCCAGCCTAGTTATAGAGAGCGTTTTACACATATGTGGAATGAGTAAACACGAAATGCTAGAGGGGCGCCTGGGTGGCTTAGTTGATTGAGCATCCAACTCTTGATTTCATCTTGGGTCATGATCTGATGGTTTGGTTTGTGAGATCAAGCCTCGCATCGGGCTCTGAGCCTGCTTGGGATTCTTCCCCGGCCCCGATCTCTGCCCTTCCCCTGGTTGCTCTCTCTTTCTCTCTCAAAATAAACTTAAAAAAAAGATACTTTCTTAAAAAAATGAACTGATAGAATGATGTGCCCATAAATGACATTAAGGGTAAAAAGAGAAGGGAGAAAGATCAATGTGGACTGAAGTCACCCAGGAAAGATTTGTAGAGGAGCCTTTGCTGTTCAAACCAGCATTTGGGTCAAGCCAAAAAGAGTGCCCTCGAGATCAGTTTATAGCCTAAAAGGAGGCTGGCCCTACCCCGAAAAGTATGATAGGAATTAAAAATTCAAAAACATGAGAGACCAGATGGCATCCATGGTGGTCATCGACTTGGGGAAGATTGCTGGTAGTCTAGGGGTTTGGGCATCTGGTTTCTTCCCAGTCATCCTATGTACAAATGCTTTTTAATTTATAGTTTCATGTAGTTGTACCAAATAGCTGCAGCAGGGTTTACTCCTGTGTAGTCTCTGCCCACTTCATCGAGGTTGATCCTGAAAACGGTTTGTCTGAAATTAGCCAACGAACATAATCCGTTAGACCTGACCATTTAAATGGCACAGGAACAGCATGATTCTAAGAACCCAGGCTCTGGAACCAAAACTGACTCCAAATCCTATTCTTGGTTTATCTACTTAGTGGCTGGGTGACCAATTCACTCGGTTTCCGAGGTGGTAGAATGGGGATAACGGCCGCCCTGCAGCGCTGTGTTAGAGCTAACGGGTGCCCCGTGCCAAGTAGCTGATGAATAACAGAGCAGTTGTTCTGTTTGTTCTGTTTTATTTTACTTCCACTTGGACCCAGCAGCAGCTCTGCCTCCAACCAGAAGTGTAGTCCTGTAGAAGTTGATTGCTTTCTCTCTTAATTTACTTAACTTGCAAAAGGAAGGGCTTCAACTAGGTGACCTTTACAGAATTAGTCTCTGCTTTCTCTAAAATCAGAGATGTATGAAGAATTTATTCAGTGTTTGCCATACACCTGATTCTGTGATGATAATTTTTCAGGCGAGTAAGAAAGGAAGGTAAGAATACGTGTGGATGGAGGGCAGCATGTGAAGTACAAGTGGTAGAGATGCACCAGTGTGTTTGTTGTCACCTGAATGACACTCACTTCCCTTCTACTTTAGAATGAAGTTTTACATAATTTTTGGAAGCGCTACCTTCAGAAGAGCAAGCAGGCCTATTGTAAAAACCCAATTTATACCAGCAGAAGAAAGGCTACGGTAAGTCACAAGTCTGAAACGCAGGATGAAAAGACCTTTCTAGAGTGAGGCAGAGCTGAAAACAGGTTCAGCCTCATCTGGATATATGATGCTTGTCAGAGAAGCATCAGTGAAGAGGTTTCTGTCATGGTCCAGAAGGACGGGGTCGCTGATCTAGACATGGGAATCAATTTTCATTTCTTATTTGACCAGTTGAAAGAAAGAAATTTGCAGTTAAGTTCTCAATAGAAGTTTAAGCAATTTCTATTAATTTTGGTATTAAAATGTGTTTTTTGGCATGTTATTCTTTGTGCTTGGAAAACCCACTTATCCAACCTGGTATTTCAAGATTCAGCTCAGTTATCTCTACTTAGCAGTCTTTTATTATTATTATTATCATTATTATTATTATTAATGTTTATTTATTTTTGAGTGACAGAGCACGAGCAGGGGAGGGTCAGAGAGAGAGGGAGACACAGAATCCAAAGCAGGCCCCAGGCTCTGAGCTGTCAGCACAGAGCCCGATGCGGGGCTCAAACTTGGGAATGGCGAGATCATGACCTGAGCCAAAGTTGGACGCTTAACCCACTGAGCCACCCAGGCGACCCTCTACTCAGCAGTCTTTATGTGAAGAAAAATAAGTCTGGGTGCCTCACCACCCCCTCCCCCATCCCCCAAAACATTTATGTTTATATATTTTAGTTTGCTTTTAACTGTTTTACGAACATGCCAAGGGACATTTTATTTGGGGTCGGGGAGGATTCCACTGCTGAGAAAGGCAAGTCTGATAAACTTCGATGTTTGGTGTGAGGTACTTACTCTCCAGGGCCAAGAAGAGATTCTGAATCAAAATCAAATCAAATGTATTTGACACACATTTGTTAAGAGCTTAGAAACTTGGCTCAGCGTTTTCTTGTTGGTTTGGGGTCTCCTGGGTTCCACATGCAGAACTGTGTGGCCCAGGACTAAGGAGCCTGGGTCTGAGGGAAGGGAATAGGCCCTGAGAACGAGAAGGTTAGAGGAGGTAAGCTGCGCAATAGACAATCATGAAAGAGGGACTCACCTAAGCAATTAGGGCGGAAACATCCTTTCTATTTTTATTTTATTTTTAAATGTTTATTTTTGAGAGAGAGAGAGACAGAGCACAACTGGGAGAGGGGCAGAGAGAGAGGGAGACACAGAATCGGAAGCAGGCTCCAGGCTCTGAGCTGTCAGCACAGAGCTGATGTGGGGCTCGAACTCACAGACCATGAGATCATGACCTGAGCCAAAGTCAGATGCTTAACTGACTGAGCCACCCAGGCGCCCCAGGAAACATCCTTTTTGAATCTGGGTCAGTGAATTTAAATAAACTCAAGAGAAATATCTTGAATGTACTGGGACAGACAATATTTTTTTTAATTAATTTTTTTTAATTTGCACGTTGGTTAATATACAGTGTGGTCTTGGCTTCAGGAGTAGAATCCGGTGATTCATCACTTGCATACAACACCCAGTGCTCATCCCAACAAGTGCCCTCCTCCTTAATGCCCATCACCCATTTTCCCCACCCCCATCAGCCCTCAATTTTTTCTCTGTGTTTGTCTCTTACAGTTTGCCTCCCTCTCTGTTTTTATCTTATTTTTCCTTCTCTTCCCCTATGATCATCTGTTAAGTTTCTCAAATTCCACATATGGGTGAAATCATGTGATATCTTTCTCTGACTGACTTATTTCGCGTAGCATAATACCCTCTAGTTAGATCCACATTGTTGCAAATGGCAAGATTTCATTCTTCTTCATCACCGAGTAATATTCCATTGTATACATATACACCACATGTTCTTAATTCATTTGTCAGTTGATGGACATTGGGGTTTTTCCCATAACTTGACTATTGTTGTTAGCACTGCGATAACATTGGGGTGCATGTGCCCTTTGAATCAGCATTTTTGTATCCTTTGGATAAATTCCTAGTAGTGCAGTTGCTGGGTCGTAGGATTGTTCTATTTTTAATTTTTTGAGGAAGCTCCATACTGTTTTCCAGAGCAGCTGCATCTGTTTGCATTCCCACCAGCAGTGCAAGAAGGTCCTCTTTTCAGCACAACCTCACCAATATCTGTTGTTTCCTAAGTTGTTGATTTTAGCCATTCTGACAGGTGTGAGGTGGTATGTCATTGTGGTTTTGATTTGTATTTCCTTGATGATGAGTGATATTGAGCATTTTTTCATATATTGGGGGGCCATCTTAAGCCTACTTAAGATTCTCTCTTTCCCTCTTCCCTCTGTCCTTCCTCCCTTCAAAAAAAAAATAAAATCTTATAACAAGAATGAGGTATAAGGTAGACTGGGAAGAAATTGGAGACAGAGAGTCTGGATCACTCTTCCAAGACATTTTGTTGCAAAATATAAAGAATTTATGTTGTAGACGGAATCCAGGAAGGTTTTTTAAGTGGGATAAATGATGGCATATCTGTGTAGTGATGGGAATGATATAGAAGAGAAGAAGTTCTCAATGGAGAGATAGAGACAGTAGAAGTGAGGGATAATCTTTGAGTAGATGGGGTAGAATTGGGTGCACAGAGGGAGAAGCTGGCCTTTTAGATGAGAGCTTGGATAGTCCACCAGAAGAAACAGACAGGGAGTAGAGTACACGATCAAGTTCCTGGCAGATGGTCGCCTGCATAAGCTTGTGGACATTTTCTTCTGATTGCTTCAGTTTTCTCAGTAAGTCCATGCTCATCTGCCAGTTTTATGGGGTACCTTGTCTCATGCTTACCTGTAGAGAGGGAGCATGCTTAACAGTAACAGAGGACACAAGCATCTCGTCCCTGAATTAAAAAAAAATTTTTTTTTAATTTATTTATTTGCTTTATTCTCTTGTGAGTTTCCTTCACATGAGTCTTGCCTCCTCTCCATAAGATTGAGTCTCTTGGGAAAAAAGAAAAAAGATTGAGTCTCTTGGTCTGCACAACTAACAGTGTGGCTTTTTGACTGCGATCAGTTTCCTCAAGATAATGTCAGCCAATGAGACCTTTAGGTAACCAGCCGCATTTCAGCAATACGTGTGTGAAACATTAGACAATGGTATGAGACAGTACATCCTTATCAGTTAAGTGTTATAAATGGTAAAGTGCCCCAGGAATTCAGGGAATCAAGAACTCATAGGAAGAAGAGTTGATTGAGAGACAGCATAATAGAGTAAGCAACGTATTGGAGAGCGAGAGAAGGAAGGGTAGTGCAGGCGGGAGAAATGGAATCAACGTAGATACAAAGTGAAGACAAGCCGGCAGTGCGCATGGCGTCCTTGCCGATGTGTGCGTTGCTGTAGCTCCTAGAGCTACAAGGGAGATGTTGGCTCCGGGGAGAAGGAAGCAGCCGGCCTGTAGCCCTTCTCCAGGAGCATTGCCAGGAGCTGCCGGGGGGCACTCTGTCGCGGGTAAGGTCTTTGGTCTTAGGAACTTGGCAGACGGTCACAGTTCTCTAGGATACTTTACCTTATGGTGCTTCCGACAGGCAGGACTTGGTTAGGCTTCTGGGGATTAACTGTGATTTCAATTCCTGTGTAATAATTTTGTGTATATTATTTTGCAAATAGGTATTAGAAGACAACCCGAGTCATTCAGACTGGGATAGTGAGCCCGAGGGGCTGAGTGACTTCAGCTGCCTTTCTTTTGTTGAAAGTGGAACAGATTCTCAGCCTGATGGCCGTACTCAGAAGCCTTTCCCCATCAGCAAAGCATCACAATCAGGTAAAAATGAGAATCAGACTACCTAGAATTTTAAAGCTGATAATGTACCTTAAAAGTAATTTAGTTCAAGGGTGCCTGGGTGGGCTCAGTTGGTTAAGCTTCCGACTCCAACTCAAGTCATGATCTCACGGTTCGGGAGTTCAAGCCCTGAATCGAGCTCTGTGCTGACAGTGCGGACCCTGCTTGGGAGTCTCTCTCTGTCACTCCCCTACTCTTTCTCTCAGTCTCTCTCAAAATAAATAAAAATAAAACTTAAAAAAATAATAATTTAGTCCAGTCTTTTCATATTTCAAGGGAAGGAACTTGGCCTAGCAAGAAAGAATGACTTGCTAAATCATATGGCTAGGAGAAAGGTAAATTAAATCTTAGTGCAGTTTTTAAAAAGGTACATTTTTCCACGAGTACTTCTGTGTGATTTTTATTTATTAAAAATTTTTTTAGGTTTATTTATTTATTTTGAGAGAAAGAGAGCGTGAGCCGGGGAGGGGCAGAGGGAGAAGGAAAATCTTAAGCAGGCTCCACTGTGTCAGTGCAGAGCTTAGGCAGGGCTCGATCTCAAAAAACTATGAGATCATGACCTGAGCTGAAATTAAGAGTAGGATGCTTAACCAACTAAGCCATGCAGGCACCCTTTTTGTGTGATTTTTAAAGGGTGTTAAACAATAAGTAGATCCAGAAAGAACAAAGCTAGCTCAATAAAGATCATATATTTGTGGGCTCAGAATTTTCAAAGAAAAGTTCCAGCAGAGAAATGAGAGATCTTAGCCACGTGGTAAGATAGGTAAGAGTCAAAGATGATATGCCCGATTTCTAATCATTGACTGAAGCAAAATTTGTCATATCGTGTGTGAGTTTTACTTTCTGATTTAATTCCATAATTTAAAATAGATAAAGAGTATATTTAAGGTAATAGGCATAGACCTTCTCAATGCATTTATTCATGATTCTAGTTGTTTCTACACTACATTTAAAAAAAAAATGGTGGAGGGGCGCCTGGGTGGCTTAGTCGGTTAAGCGTCCGACTTTCGCTTGGGTCATGATCTCGCGGTTCGTGGGTTCGAGCCCCGCGTCGGGCTCTGTGCTGACTGCCAGCTCAGAGCCTGGAGCATGATTCAGTCTGTGACTCCCTCTCTCTCTGACCCTCCCCTGTTCATGCTGTCTCTCTCTCTCTCTCTCCTAGAAATAAATAAAACATTTAAAAAAAAAAAATGGTGGAAAACAGACCTCAGAGAACAGACCAGGCTCGTATTATAGATTACTAGAATCTTGATGTGTGCTGACAGAGTTCTTTGGGAGGTTGCTAGTGTTAGGGACTGTGGAAACCTGGGTTGTGTGATTATATAAAATTTGTAACAGAACATTTCTTGTGTGGACTGTTTCTTTGCAAGTCTCTTCCCTCTAAAGAGTGAAAATTCCTTTTATCAGCATCTCCACATTACTTGCTGGACTGCACAGTGACACAGATCTCAGACAAGTTATTTTTTGTGTCCAAAGAGGTAAAGAAGTTAGAATCCTAGAACAGCTGGGCCCAGTGAATCTTCGGAGTTTCCTTTCCATGTTGTCAGGCAGGCCTGAACTCCAGCTGTCCTCTGGACTAGGACTCTCAAGTCTTCCAAGTCTTTTAGAGTACCATGATTGTTTCCCTATGTTTTGTGTCTTTAAACAATTTTTTTTAATGTTTATTATTTATTTTTGAGAGAGAGACAGTATGAGAGCAGGGGAGGGGAAGAGTCTGGAGGCACAGAATCTGAAGCAGGTTGCAGGCTCCGAGCTGTCAGCACAGAGCCCAACGCGGGGCTCTAACTGGTGAACTGAGAGACCATGACCTGAGCTGAATTCAGGTGCTTAATTGACTGAGCCACCCAGGCGCCCCAGATTATTTCCCTATGTGAAGAGTTTTTGTTTTGGTGTTTGCTTTTAGTAAATGATGATCCTTAGAGCTTTATTTTCATTTTTACGTGTAAAGTGAGTACTGATACAACTCTTACTTCACAACTATAAAATACAGTCACAAGGAAAATCACCAGTTATTGTACCATCCCGAAACAAACCACTTCGCTGTAGTAGATCATTCCAGAAAGTTTTTTATTCATGTATATAGAGAGAGAAAGGGAAAGAGTTTTATTATTTCATTTTTACAAAAATGTAAACTACTTCATTCTTTAAATTTTTTAATCAAAATTTTATATGCACGTAAATCAGATAGATTTATGATGTTTGATATGAAAAAATTATAGTCTATTATTCCCCTAAATGTGTTGTTCCCAAGAGACGTTCTTTTTCAGCTCTTCTGCAACCTCCATATCTCCAAAAAAAATTTTTTTAATGTTTGTTTATTTTTGAGAGAAAGAGAGAGAGAGCATGGGAGCAGGGGAGGGTCAGAGAGAAAGGGAGTCACAGAATCTGAAGCAGGCTCCAGGCTCTGAGCTGTCATCACAGAGCCCAACGCAGGGCTCCAACTGACGAACTGTGAGATCATGACCTGAGCCGAAGTCGGATGCTTAACTGACTGAGCCACCCAGGCGCCCCTGTAGCCCCCATACCTCCATAGCATATGCTTATAGTACGACATCTTGATTTCTGCTTTTGGACATTAGCTGTTAAGTTCCGACTATAGAAGATGAACGTTGGCTCCCTCATACCTTACTCACTGCGCCTTCCCCATGCAGTCACCAGCACACGATTGTGCATTTCTTTATCTCTGTCTTCCCAGTACGATTATAATTTTTTGCTAGCCCACTGTGAGCCACATAACTTGCTATGATTACACTTACTGTAGATCCTTTGGTTTTTCTCAGAGTTGAGAATTGTCTTCTCACTCACTTAGTTTTCAGTTTATTTATTACTAATCTACAATTTATTGCTAGTGTGTCTCCACACTTCCTCCCAGTCCTGAAAATCTCTCAATTTCTTAGATATTCTACCAATTTCATCTTCTGGGAGAAGTCTTTGTGGAGCTTCTGACCTACCCTAATCCACAATGAAGTGTCTCTAAACCTGTGACGTGACTGTCTTTGTATCTCTTTACTGCAATCCTGAAGACTCTCTCACCCCTCTTTTGTTAAATTCCTTGTTTCCTTGACCTTATTTCATCCTTCCTGGTTTACTCCCTTGTTTTTGTGGAGGATCTTTTCTTATTTTCCTGAGGATATTGATATGATGTTGATAATATTTTCCCTTGAATTGATTATGTTGTTTTCTGCTTTTTGTATTAGAGGTTTTCTTCAAATATTTATGAGCCTAATATGGCTGGTCTTCTTAAGAATGGAGACTGAAAGAGCGCCTGGGTGGCTCAGTCAGTCAAGTGACTTTGTCTCAGGTCATGATCTCACAGTTCATGAGTTCAAGCCCTGCATCAGGCTCTGTGCTGACAGCTCAGAGCCTGGAGCCTGCTTCAGATTCTGTGTCTCCCTCTCTCTCTGCCTCTCCCCTGCTTGCGTTCTCTCTCTCTCTCTCTCTCTCAAAATAAATAAAAATATTAAAAAAATTTTTTTTAAAAAGAGACTCAAAAACTGAGTGAAAGCCTTGTGTCCATAGTGAGTTTTGCTAGTTGCACTGTGCATGATCTAGCTGGGTTATTTTCTTAGCAGGCCTCTAGCATTATCATCTTTAAATCTTCTCCCCCTGAGCTGATAGGATTTTCAAGAGAAATCTCTGAGTCCTGTTTGGAGGGTGTAATCCTGGCTGTTCTGGGAAGGAGGCCTGAGAGGAATGTGGGGGTGGGGGTCCTCTCAGTACTCAACACTACACTTGCACTTGCTGTTTTCCATGATCCACCCTACTCTCAACTGTGTGTATGACTGACATACCCTATTCCAGAGACCCTTCGTTTTACTCTCGCCAGAGAAGAAACTTCCAGTTTTCTACCCACATTGGGAAAGGGCAGGCATTTGCCGGATGGGGTTGGGGTACGAGTCTGAGTGTCTAACTGCTTCTCAATCAGACTTTCAAGTAATCTTTCTGGTGTTAGACCTACCTTCACCCACTTTCCAGGATTTAACCAATTCTGGAGCTTTCTTTAGAGGTTCGCAGGGGAAAGTTACATTGGTTTATGGTTTTCTCTACTGCTAGCTTTGAATCCACCTTTCTCAACACTGCTGAGGCAGTAATCACCTGTCTGTATGCTTTCTAACTTTTAAAATTTTATTGCTGGGGCACCCAGGTGGCTCAGTCAGTTAAGCGTCCAACTCTTGAGTTTAGCTCAGGTCATGATCTCACGGGTTCGTGGATTGGAGTCCCATGTCAGGCTCCATGCTGACAGTGCAGAGTCTGCTTGGGATTCTCTCTACCTCTCCTCTGCTCATGAGCTCTCTCTCTCTCTCTCTCAAAAAGAAATAAATTTTATTTTATTTATTTAAACATATTTTTTAAATCTTGTTTACTTATTTTGAGAGAGCAAGTGAGCAATGGGGTAGGGCAGAGAGAGAGAGGGGGAGAGAGAGAATCCCAAGCAGATACTGTCAGTGTGGAGTCTGAGACAGGGCTCGAACTCACGAACCGTGAGATATGACCTGGGCTGAAATCAAGAGTCGGACACTTAGGGGGCGCCTGGGTGGCTTAGTCGGTTAAGGGTCCGACTTTCACTTAGGTCATGATCTCGCGGTTCGTGGGTTCGAGCCCCGCGTCAGGCTCTGTGCTGACTGCCAGCTCGGAGCCTGGAGCCTGTTTCAGTCTGTGACTCTCGCTCTCTCTGACCCTCCCCTGTTCACGCTGTCTCTCTGTCTCCTAGAAATAAATAAAACATTAAAAAAAAAAAAAAAGAGTCGGACACTTAATCAACTGAGCCACCCAGGCGCCCCCAAATAAATAAACTTTAAAAAAATAAAATTTTATTGTTATTGCCTCCTTTCCCGTGTTATTTGTTCTTTAGTTTATGTCTTTTAAAAAATTCCTCTGTAATTCTAAGCAGTGGGACAGAGCAAAGACCGCTGTGTGTTTTCATTCTGCCGTCTTCACTGGAAACCTCTATGTGCTGTTATATATATGTATTTTTTTAATAGAAGACTTTATAGAAATCTGTGTCCTTCTAAATTCTTTTAAAACAGTCATCCTCAAACTTTAACATCCCTCAGAATCACCTGGAAGCCTTGTTAGACCGCAGATTGGTAGGTACGGTCCTTTCCATCTCTGGGAAGTTCTCAGGTGGCTCTGACACAGCGGGTGTAGGGACTCCACTTTGAGAAGCATTGACAGAAGCAGCAAGTGAATGGCACACAGTGTTCCTTCGCGTGGAGTTATTTAATTAAGTTTCTCTTCCTGTCACTTAGGTTGTTTTTAATCTGTTTCACATCCTCCGCAGCACTGCTGCAACGTGCCTCCACCTTGCGTCTTTGCGTGTTTTAAGGATCATTTCACCGGGATGAGAGTCTTGAACTGCCAGCCTGTTTGCCACCAAATGGTTACTGGGTTCCTCCTTCATGCTAGGGCCTGCTTGGGGCTCCGGGGACCCGGTGGTGAGCGAGGTCGTCCGCCTTCCAGGTGCTTAGATTGTAGTGGGAGGAGTTGGAAAATAAACGCACACATTCATTAAAAAGTTCCGTTATCGATAAATGCTACGAGGAAAGGATTTATAGGATTTGGGAAAAGAAGGATTTTGAGGAATAGTTTGGAGAGTTTTGTCCAAGAAAATGTGGAGTTTGGGGGGACGGGTCGTTCTTAGCCCTGCTTTCTACTAACCCTACTTCTAGCTTTAAACAGCAGCTGCATCGTGACGGCTCAGAAATTTCTATCTCGAGGTTTTCCTCCAAACTACATATTTTTATATACAACTGTCTATTTGTATATAAATAGGGTGCAGTTTCTATTTGTGCAGTTAGTAGGGTCTTCACTTAACACGTGTAATTCTGAAACTTTTCTTTCATCAAACCTGCCCTTTTGCCGTCTTCCTTGTCTCAATAGATGGCGTTTTCATTCTGCTTGTAGCTCAGGCTCAGACTCACACTCATCCTTGCCTTCCGTTTTTCTCTCATACTTTATGTTCAGTCCATCAGCAAATTCTTTTTTCTTTTTTAATTTTTTGATGTTTATTTATTCTTGAGAGAGAGAGAGAGTGGGAGCAGGCAAGGGGCAGAGAGAGAGGGAGACAGAATCCGAAGCAGGCTCCAGGCTCCGAGCTGTCAGCACAGACCCTGATGTGGGGCTCAAACCCATGAAGCGGGAGATCATGACCTGAGCCCATGTTGACGCTTAACCGACTGAGCCACCCAGGTGCCCCCATCAGCAAATTCTTCTGACTCTGCCTTCAAAATATGTCCAGATTCCGACCACTTCTCCCCACCTGCAGTGCTGCTGTCCCAGCCCAAGTGCCTGTCATCTCTGTCTGGGACGGCGTGTTCTGGGCACTCTCGCCCTCTGAAGGCTCCATTCTTCATACAGTAGCTGGAGAGAGCTTTTTAAAAACACAGATGGTATCAAGTGGTTTTTCTGTTTAAAACTCTCCAGAAACTGGGGCGCCTGGGTGGCTTAGTCGGTTAAGCGTCTGACTTTTGCTTAGGTCATGATCTCACGGTTCGTGGGTTCGAGCCCTGCGTCGGGCTCTGTGCTGACTGCCAGCTCAGAGCCTGGAGCCTGTTTCAGTCTGTGACTCCCTCTCTCTCTGACCCTCCCCTGCTCACGCTGTCTCTCTCTCTCCTAGAAATTAAAAAAAAAAAAAAAAAACTCTCCAGAAACTCCTCATAATACTCAGAATAAAATCCAAAACACAAAACATTACCTATAAAGCCTTGTGAAATATGGTTTCTGGCTCTCTTTTTTTTTTTAATTTTTTAAATGTTTGTTTATTTTGAGAGAGAGAAGTAATAGAGAGCAAATAGGGAAGGGACAGAGAGAGAGGGAGACAGAGAATCCCAGGGAGGCTTCACTGCTGACAGTGTGGAACCCCATGTGGGGCTCGAACTTACGAACCACGAAATCATCATGACCTGAGTCAAAATCAAGAGTCAGGCACTTAACCAACCGAGCCAGCCAGGCACCCCCGTTTCTTTTTTTCTTATCATTTCCTACCGCCTCCCCTCCCCCCTTGGTGCTCCTCCGTGTTCATCCTGCTGATGAATGCCGTGTTCTTCCTGAGCTCCTCAGGGCTTCCTGTCTGAGTGTATTCACGTCTCTGCTCAGGTGCCACCTTCCAAAGAAGCTTCTTTGACCATCTGTATCAGGTAGCTCCTGTCTCTTCTCTTCCCATCACTTTGTATCCCCTGCATACACTTACCACCGTCTGTCAGTTATTGTTTTTTTTTTCTCTTTCATGACCATCTCCCCGTTGCTAGAATGTTACGTTCCAAGGGAGGTGCAACACCGTTCACTGTCCTTTCCCCTGACCTAGAACAGGGGCACAGAGCATGCGATGAGTGAGTGTTGAAGGAAGGAGCAAGGACACGTAATGTCCTGTGGTGAAGGGCGCCTGGAGGCTGGGAGTGGGCTGAGACGCTGTCCTAGCCGGTGTTTCTGAAACACTGTGTGTCTGTCCCCTCACACAAAGGGACGCGTAGGTTGGGGCCTGGACCGAAGCAGCTCCACACTGTTTGCTTTGCTTTGTAATTGTTTATCTTACTTGTATTTGTAATTGTTTTACTTATTTGGAAAATGGCTCCTGTCTACTATGAAAACATTCAAGCAGGTCAAGTCCCTCTTTAGAGTCTCAGCCCATCCCACTCCCATAAAGAACCTGCATTATCTTTCTAGCTAATTTCCTCTAAACCATCATTGCTCTTTATTGCCAGATTGCTCTTTGTAAAGATTGTATCAGTGATAGCTTGATTTTAAGATATTGAAAATGCCTCTTTGGATTTTTTTTGTTGTTTTTCTTCTCATGTTGTCCAAATAGTTATTTGCACTTAAAAAAAAATCTCCATTTATTCCCTAAGAAACGGCATCCATCTGTTCTGGCTCTCTGGATGGAGTGGAATATTCGTTACGGAAGGAGAAGGGGATCATAAAGATGACGGTACCAAGGACACTTGCCTTCTGCTACCTGTCACTGCTGTGGCAGAGAGAGACTCTTACCCTCTCAGATCTCTTGAGGTAAGCTGGGCCTCTCCTAGGATGACCTCTTTGCTGGTGCTCTGTGTGAACTGGGGGACAGCCTTTGGAGATCTTGACTATGACAAGGAAGCTTTACTTGAGGAAGAGAACGGAAAGATTGAGTAGAAATGTAATCCTTCCCTGGCTGGTGGTTCGTCTCCTTGGTTTCCTTATTTATATATGTGAAATAATGGTGTTTACCTTACACGGTGGTTGGAAAACTAATTATCTGATGTGAATAAAATGCTCTGAAGATGAAAAGTAACACTCCAGTACCTGAGTAGTGGTATTAAGTATTTTGCATTTCTAAGAGAGAAGATCAACAGATGACCCTTACGTTGGCAAATGGTTACTAGTAGTTACTCAAAAGCATATGCTGGTGTTGTCAAGAGCTGCAGTATGGGTTGTCTGTGTTTATAAGGTAAATTGAAAACAAAACTACTAGAAAAACCTGTTAGTAGATGGTCAGTATTTACATTATTGCAGCTAATTTACAGTGTTTTATAGTTAATGAGTAAATTAGGGCATTGTCTATAATACTTTCTCATTAAATAGAAGATGTGCCAAAATCGTTAGTGTGTTAATATTTCCCTTGCTTTGTATGTATTCTAAATAATGGCATTAGGTTTAATCAGTGTGTAGAGTGATTCTAAGAGCATAGATTTAGAACGAGACTCCAGGGTTTGAATCCTGTGACCTTGAGTAAATTATTAAATTTTCTTTGCCTCTGTTTCATCCCTGATGAAATGGAGCGAATAATAACATCTACCTCAGAGAGCTGTAACCCCATCCAGTCATGAGTAGTACACGGAGGGTACTCACAGCAGTGCCTGGTGCGTAGTAAGAACGCAGTGCTGGTTACTGCTGTTTCGTTGTCTTCATCACCATCATCGGTACTAGGCCCTTTGATTAAATAAAATGCCTCCAGTAAATGATGATAGTGCCTTTGAGTTTGGCCACATCAACCAAATAACAAGGCTTTTCTCAGGGGTGATTAGCTCTGCATGCAGATAGTCCATGATTCAATGAATTTTACTGTTAGGTTAAAACCTCACCTTGCTCCCTCTGCCTTCGCTGGGTGATCTCATCTTCTCCCAGGGCTTTAATTACCATCTACACGATGGTGACGCCGCCCAAATTTATAACTGCAGCCCGGACTTGTCTAGTGAGGGTCAGACCGTCTGTTCATACATACGGCTGCCTGTTGGGCACTACTGGGGTGTCTTTACGGTATCTCAGAATCAGCGTGGCAGAAGGAGGTTTCGTCTTTCATTCAGCGCCTTTTCGTGTTTTCTTTCTTCGTAAATACCATGCACTCTGTTTCCCCCTATTCAGAAACCTAAGAATCCTTGACTCTTTCCTTTCTTCACGTCTGCAGTCAGTCATTACATCCTGTCAGCCATGCTTGAGACCGTATTTCTCCCCATTCCCTCCGGAACCCACCCGGATTACTTAGCAACCGCCCAGGGCCCCGTGTCTGCAGGCTGGTGCCGCCCCCACCCATTTTCCTTTCCATAAGCCAGCGGCCTCATGGAAACAACCATCAAATCCTGTCGCTAGAGCAAAGGGGCTGTCCAGCTACCCAGGGCCATCTGTAAGGGGGGACAAGACTCCTGGAGATCTAACAGATGGAGAGAATAGTACTCACCAGTAATTCTTCTCAGGGAGACTCATACACGATTGGAAGGATGGGGGCAAGACCCTCCACACTTGTCTCCCTCCCTCCTCCACCCTCCTTTCCCCCCTCCCTTAAAGGAGAATTCTGAAGTGCCTTCAAGGAGATTGGATCTAGTTAGCTGGAGGGCTTTTATTTTGCTCTGTGAGACATATAAATTTGCAAACCCCGAGTCTAATTACTTCGCGCAACAGGAAAGGGGACTGTTACCACTGACCCTCTTCCTCTTTTTCTCAGAGAAGGAGCTCTCAGTCACAGGTTCTCAAAGTGTGGTCCCTTGACCAGCAGCATCAGTATCACCTGAGAACTTATTAGGGCTGCAGACTCTCACCAAACTCTAACCCATTCCAACCTCCTGAGTCAGAAACTCTGGGGGTAAGGCCTGGTAACCTCTGGTTTAATAAGTCATCCTGAGGATTCTTAGGGATGCTAAAGTTTGACAACTACTGCCAAACTTGGAAAAGTATTTAAAGAACATTGATTTGAAGGAAATACAATACCTGCCTGGCCCCAGTACCCATCTGTCTTAGACTCATCCTATGTGTTGGTTTAATCCTTTAGCAACATCCATAGTCCTTAGAATAAATTCATAAATCTGAAAGCAGCCTTTAAAGAACCCTGCCTACCTAGCGACAACAACAATAAATAAAAATACCCAGCATGCATTCATTCCACAAATATTGATTTATTAAAATTTTTTTTAATGTTTATTTTTTGAGAGAGAGACAGAGCACGAGTGGGGGAGGGGCAGAGCGAGAGGGAGGCAGAATCTGAAACAGACTCCACGCTCTTAGCTGTCAGCACAGAGCCTGACACGGGACTCGAACCCACAAACCATGGGGTCATGACCTGCGCTGAAGTCAGACGCCCAACCTACGGATCCACCCAGGGGCCCCAACAAAGCACTAATTTTACATAATACTTAATTCTCAACTATTAGTAGACTAAAAAGTTAAATCACATTTTTAATCTGAAATTAAAGTTGAATCAATATAATTCTTTAACACATAGACAGCTAAAAACTAGGTGTCAGGTTAGCTCTAGCAACAACAAAAGCTTTGATGCAGAACATTTGTACAACTTATTCCCTTATTCTTGTCTTTATCTTATTTTCCTTAACCGTTTCGTGTTTTAAACGTCTAACAGATGCGAACATACATATGGCCCAGGTTGCAAGCCCCCTCCTCACTCTGCGTTCTTTCCTGCTTCATTTTTCTCCTTCCCATCTTTTCCTACTTAACATGCTATAGATTTCATCTGTTTGTTTTGTTTGTCATCTCTTTTCACTGGAACATAAACTCCTCAGAAACAAGCGTATTTTCCTATTTTGTTCATTGCTATGTGGCCACAGCCTCAAATAGTGCTAGGTTTTAGTTCCCAATAAATTTGTCGAATTAATGAATGAATTGTAAGTAGATATGTATGTGCATTTATTTATATATATATGCAGTTTTCTTCAACTCCATAATTTACTCAAAATCTTTGATCAGCTGCCAGGAACCGGACATTGGGATGGAGTGGTCAGCAAATGGGCAAGGTCCCTTCCCTTAATTATTTCCAGTGGCAAGCATCTGCTATGCGATGTCATCGGTGCTGAGGACAGGAGGGTAGACAAAGGGAGGTGTTCTAACAAGGAACACAGGTCAAGGAAGGTCTCCCTGGGGAAGTGATTTAAAACAAGAGCAGATGCTAATCATGTGAGGGGGTCGAGGGGTAGAAGGACGCCGTGTCTGCAAGCCTGGTGGGGAATTGACAAGTAGGACACATGCTTCTTAGAAAGATTTCATCTCTTTAGAAACTTAAGATACCATTAGATAATTGGCTAAATGTTTTCTCCACACGTGGGCACGGAGAAGAGTTGATATTTTCAGATTTATCATCTTTGAGAATACGTGGCAGAAACAACATTCTCAACTGATTCTTACCTTGTCTTTGAAAGCCGATATTTTGTCTACTTTTGTCTACTTTGCAAAATCAGCACATACTTATTGAAGCTTTCTTTCCAAAAATACAGATTTGTTGAAGAGGGACATATTCCTTACATAAATGCTTTTCAGCATTTTCCAGAAGAGATGAAATTATATGGGCGCGACAAAGGAATCTTTGCTATAGAGGCAAGTTATTTTCTTTTTTTACTTTGTGGTCACTAATAAGACACAAAAACACTATGGTGACTTGTACTTCTTTCCTGAATTATTATTTGGTGTTGGGAGTTTAAAAAAAAAAAAATGGCATCTAGTTTTTGTTCTGCCCATATATAGAACATTAGTTATAATTTAATGCAGAATGGAACTATTTTTTACGTTCATCATGTGGTTTCTTCTAATCCTTTAGAATCTCCTGAAAAGACGGCTGTACTATGAGGTGTGCACATTGTCAATAGGTATATTGTTAAGACTAAGAAGTTTTATGTAGAGACCTTTAGGTAATTTCAAATTAAAAAAAAATTTTTTTTGTTATTTGCATACTACGTTGCTGCTGAGAAAAAGAAGAAGGTTATTATCTTGTTTCAAGAGGTACAATTTTGAGGCCTTTGTTTATTAGTCTTTTTCTAGATCTGTCTGTAGATGTCTCCAGTGGAAGGGCTTCTGTCCCTTTAATTATGAGTCTTTATCACTATTTATAGTGCTCAGATGATCTTCTCTTTGTTCTTCATTAGAAGGTTTCAGTATACTAAATACAAATATTAAATATTATCTTCGGTTTAGTCACTTAAGGGGTTGTTGTCATAGTCTTCCTAACCTTCACAACCTTACATTGTGGTATCATTCAAGAGACATTTGTGATCCTTGCTAAGCCCCTAAGTAAGCCTGGTTCACTACCATCCCAAGTTTACATCTGAGCAAACCGCTCGGGAGACATACAGTGGGCAGCGTCAGGCTTGGAGCTCTCATACCCGCAGCCCCTTCCTCGGGTGTCATCTTTGCCTCTGTTTGCCTGCCGCTCTGCCCTCCTTTTTACACTAGTTCCTCAGAACGCTTAAGTAGGTGCTATGAAAACATGATCATATAAAGTACTGATTTTGAAGCATTGAGCCAGAAGTACGTGGAAGACTGGAAGCGCAGACAAACGGGCTCGCGCGACATCGTAACATTTCACATCCGCTTGAATTTAGAATATTGGTCAGTCCGAGTGAGTTGTAGGGAACGTTAGATTTTTAACCCGGAAATGGCCCCGCCTTCAGAACAAGTCGTGCAGGAGCAGTTCCTGTAGATTTCAAGAGAGGAAGCCACTTGGAGGTGGGTCCCGTGCTGCCTCTGTGTCGTGGCTATTTACTCCGTCTCCAGGAGAGAGGGGACGGGTCCCTTGTGCAGCACAAGGGAGGAGGGGATGGCTGCAGCTACCACTGAACCTGGAAAAGACAAAGAAGGAATACTAGTAGTGGTCGTACTTGTTACGCACCAGGCCCTGCTTTATGTATTTTATAAACTCCTTTATTATTCATGCCAATCCTAGGAAGCACGTTATTATTACCCTTATTTTACAGATGAAGAAACTGAGGCACAGAGCTAGTAGGCAGCTTGCCTGGCACTGGCTCTGACGCAGTCCAGCATGGCCAGGCAGCCTTAGCTTGGAGCCAGACCAAAAAAAGTGTGGGAGCACACGGTGCAGCGAGGTTGGGGGGGAGGGGGACAGGGCGGGGAGCAGCAGGGGCAGGAAGTGGGAGTAGGGTGCCAAGGCCGCCAGGGAGCTCCGAGCTGGTTACCAAACCCAGGAGGTGGCCCCGGCACCGGAAGGCAGGGCACAGAGGCTCCGACGGGAGGACTGTCCGGGCCGGAAGTGGCCGTGAGGGCCATGGTCCTGGCCTGAAGCGCGGGCGGCCGGCCCGGGGAGCCTTCTGGGAGATGGGTCTTTATGAAAAGGCCCTCAGTCTGTTTCTCAGCCTGGGCCCGGTTGTGATCATTTATTATTTTTAATTAAAAAAAGATTTAACGTGAGTGTAGTTGACACCCAGTGTTACATTAGTTTCAGGTGTAGGGCGTAGTGATCGGGCGCGTCTGTACCTTTCGCCGTGCTCGCCGCGCCGCGCTGTCACAGAGCCGCTGGCTCTAGGCCTGTGCTGTGCGCTTTCGTCCTGTGACTTACGCATTCCGTGACTGGAGCGTGGCGATAGTTCGCCTAGAGGACCGGGGACACAGAGGACAGGCCCTGCGCTTCCAGTCAGCCCCCAGACCCCGGCGAATTCGCCCGGGCTGCGCTGGGCAGCTGGGCTTGAGTAGAGGCAGGGAGGCCTTTACAAAGCGTAAGGCGTGCCTTCCACCTCAGGAGCCCTGTTTGCCTCAAGTTTTTAGTTTCAGAAGTGGCCTGCACTCAAGCTTGATCAGTTTTTCATCTTTTTAAAAAAAATTTTTTAATGTTTATTTTTGAAAGAGTGAGAGAGCAAGCACAAGCAGGGGAGGGGCAGAGAAAGAGAGGGAGACAGAATCCGAGGTAGACTCCAAGCTGTCAGCACAGAGCCCAGCATGGGACTCGAACCCATGAACCTCAGGTCATGATCTCCTAGTTCTTGGGTTCGAACCCTGTGTCAGAGCCTGCTTTGGATTGTGTCTCTCTGCCCCTCCCCTGCTTGTTCTCTCTCTCTCACTCAAGAATAAATAAATAAACATTTTAAAAAAATAATTGATTTGAAGATCTGTATAATTCATTGATTAGTGATTTCAAATTTAGCTTCTAAAAAATTGTTCATGGTTAGTTATCTGAGCCTTGTTTAAGTGATCCACTGAAAGGAAAAGACATTTAGCTTAATAATTCTCAGTCTGCATCTTTACATGTGTTTGGTTTTTCTAGAGGGATCACTGGGACTCAGCATTTTTGCATTAATCACCCCAATGTAGTCTTGGCTAATAAAAAAATTCTCTCTTTCCTCTCTTTCTCTCTCTTCTTTCCACCCTTTCCTCCCTTCCCCCACTTCTCCCTTCCTTCCTTCCTTTTCCTTTCTCTCTACTCTCCCTGAATCTCCAGTATGTTCTGTGTCTTACATTCTAACTGACTAAATCAGGCTTTAACCTGATTCCTCAGAACCATTCACCACTCAAGTTATAGTGACAGTTTTGCTTGGTTAAGGTTATTTGTACTTTTTGCTAGTGCCTAAAATTACTTACTTGTATTTAACTCCCTAACCATATTCTAAGCTTCTTAGAAATAGACACTAGAATTTTTTATATGGATCATGAAATATTAAAGCTGGAGGGAAATTTAGAGATCACTTAGTCTACTTTTCTTATTTTCAATAAGGAAACTGGCCTAAGAGAAGATGTGATTTGGGAATAAGTAAACATCTACTTCATTAGGGTTTTCATGAGGATTATTTCAGATAATATATTCAAAACGCAGGTGAATCATAGACATTGAAACGGACAGTCCTTGTAGTTCTCAGGATGGAAAAGCTTTTCCTCCAAGGAGAAGATGAATAGGGGCGCCTGGGTGGCTCAGTCGGTTAAGTGTCTGACTTTGGCTCAGGTCATGATCTCACAGTTTGTGGGTTCGAGCCCTGCGTCGTGCTCTGTGCTGACAGCTCAGAGCCTGGAGCCTGCTTCAGATTCTGTGTCTCCCTCTCTCCCCCTGTCTCTCTCTCAAAATAAATAAACATTAAAAAATTTTTTTAAAAAGAAGCAAAATGATTTAATGTTTACTTACAGGTTTAATTTTACTCTAATATTAATTTTTACGCATTTTATCAGTTACCAAGAGAGGTATTTAAATCTCCAACTCTGAAGACTTTTTCTTTCATGTTCTGTTGGTTTTTGCTTCAAGTATTTTGGAGCTTAGGTACTGGGTACATAACAACTAGGATATTTTGTCTTCTTGATGAATTGACTCTTTTCACTCTGTAATGTTCTTTTCTCCCCTCCCATCCCCAATAATACTTGTTTTCATATCTATCTTGTTCAATGTTAATATAGCCAGTTCAGCTTTTTAAAAAAATTATTTGCCTAACATTTTTAAAAATTAAATTAATTTAATTTTTAAATTAATTTAATTTTTAATATAATTATTTAAAATTTAATGAATTTTTAAAAATTAAAAAAAATTTAACTTCCCTATGTCTATATTTAAAGTGGCTTCCTGGGGGCGGGGGGGGGGGCGGTGCCTGGATGGCTCAGCTGGCTGGGCATCCGGCTCTTGATTCAGGCTCAGGTCATGATCGCACAGTTGTGGGATTGACCCCTGCACCTGGCTCTGCGCTGAGCTTGGAGCCTGCTTAGGATTCTCTTCCCGCTGCCTCTCCCACTGCTCTGCCCCTGCTTGTGCTCTCGCTCACTCGCTCTCATTGCTCTCACGCACACATGCATGTGCACATTCTAAAAAAAATAAATAAACGGACTTCCTGGTAGACAGTATGTAGTGGTCTTAAGTTTTTTTTATGTAGTCTGATATTCTCTGCCTTATAAGTACATTTTTTAAGATAATTACATGTTTAGACCATTGACATTAATGTAATTATAAATATGATTAGATTTAAATCTACCATCTTGCTGTTATTTGTCCCATCTAGTTTTTATTGTTTTTTCTTGTTTTCCTGCCTTCGTTGAATTGATTTTTTTTTTTATGACTCTATTTTATCTACACTACCGATGTATTAACTATACCTCTGTGGGGTTTGTATGTATGAGATCGCTCTAGAACTCCTAATATTCATCTGTGACTTCTCACAGGCCACCCCAAGTACTAGTGCACCTCTACCTGTGTAGTATTTCCCTGCTCCCAGCCTCTGGTGTCCAGCATAGTTTTTTGTTTTTTTTTAAGTTCATTTATTTTGAGAGAGAGAGAAAGAGAGAGAGTTGGAGGCGCAGAGAGGGAGGAAGAGAGAAAACCCCAAGTAGCCTCTGCATTGTCAGCACAGAGCCCGATGCAGGGCTTGATCCCATGAACCATAAGATCATGACCTGAGCCAAAACCAAGGATTGGATGCTTAGCCAGCTGAGACTCCCAGGCTCCCCATGTTTTCATTTCCTTTGGGTGTTTTTACCCAGAAATGGGATTGATGGATCATATGGTAGTTATAGCTTCAGTTTGTAGGAACCCCCATACTATCATAGTGGCTGCACCAGATTACGTTCCCACCAACAGTGCACAGGTGTTCCCTTTGCCTCCACAATGTCGCCAACACTTG